TCCCAGCCAATGGCCACTACTCCGTACTCTTACTACTTGACCTCTCTGTGGCTTTTGATACGGTTGACCATCCCCCTCCTCCTCAAAAAACTCCACTCTCTTGGCCTGCGAGACTCTGCTCTCTCCTGGTTCTCCTCCTATCGCAGCGCTCCTTCAGTGTTACCTATAACGCTGCCTCCTCCTCTTCACTCCCTCTTTCTGTAGGGGTCCCTCAAGGTTCTGTCCACCCCTTCTCTTCTCCATCTACACCTCCTCCCTTGGTCACTTGATAAACTCCCATGGCTTTAAGTACTATCTCTATGCTGATGACACACAAATCTATCTTTCTACCCCCTCACCTCACCCCTTCAGTCTCCTCTCGCATTACTAACCTACTAAGTGACATATCGGCATGGATGTCACTCCACTTCCTCAAACTCAATCTTTCCAAAACTGAGCTCTTAGTATCCCCCCAGCCCGTGCCCCCTCCCCTGACTTCTCCATCAAGATCAGTAACACAACCATCAGTCCCTCCCCTCATGCCAGGGTACTAGGTGTAATCCTAGACTCCCATCTGTCCTTCAGCCCCAAATCCAATCACTGTCCAAATCTTGGTAGACTTCACCTCCGCAACATCTCCAAGATATGACCGTTCCTAACCTCGGAAACCACTAAGCAACTTATCCTCTCCCTTGTTACATCTCGCCTTGACTACTGTAACTCCCTCCTCATTGGCCGACCTCATCGCAGGCTATCCCCTCTTCAGTCTATAATGAATGCTGCTGCCAGACTCATCCACCTTACTAAACCGTTCTGTATCTGCCACCCCTCTCTGCCAATCCCTCCACTGGTCTCCACTCAGTGTCCTCCACCCCTCTCTGCCAATCCCCTCCACTGACCTCCACTCAGTGTCCTCCACCCCTCTCTGCCAATCCCTCCACTGATCTCCACTCAGTGACCTCCATGCCTCTCTGCCAATGCCTCCACTGACCTCCACTCAGTGTCCTCCACCCCTCTCTGCCAATCCCTCCACTGACCTCCACTCAGTGTCCTCCCCCCCTCTCTGCCAATCCCTCCACTGGCTTCCCATTGCTCAACGGATAAAATTCAAAACATTAACAATAACATATAAAGTCAAAACTCTGCTCCAAATTACATCACCAATCTTGTCTCTAAATATCACCAAAACCATACTCTCCACTCCTCACAAGACCTCCTACTCTCTAGCTCCCTTGTCTCCTCCCTTGCTCATCTCCAGGACTTCTCCAGAGCTTCCCCCATCCTCTGGAACTCTCTACCCCAATTTATCAGACTATCACCTACTCTGCTCACTTTTAGGCAATCTCTGAAAACCTCTCTCTTCAGGGAAGCCTATCCTGCCCTCAGCTAATACTGGAATCTTCCAGTTTTCCAACCAGTCCATCCCCACAGTTACTACCTTTTGTACCACTAGCCCCTCCCTCCTAGATTGTAAGATCCAAGGAGCAGGGCCCTCAAATCCCTCTTGTATTAAACTGTATTGTAGCTGTATTGTCTCCCATTATATTGTAAAGCGTTGAGCAAACTGATTGACGCCATAAATCCTGTATAATAATAATAATACTTTTAATACTTTTTTTTTCATATTTGTAATATTGTCATTATTCTACAGGTGAAACTCGAAAAATTAGAATATGGTGCAAAAGTTCATTTATTTCAGTAATACGACTTAAAATGTGAAACTAATATATGAGATAGACTCATTACATGCAAAGCAAGATAGTTCAAGCCGTGATTTGTCATCATTGTGATGATTATGGCTTACAGCTCATGAAAACCCCAAATCCACAATCTCAGAAAATGAGAATATTGTGAAAAGGTGGAATATTCTCGGCTCAAAGTGTCCCACTCTAATCAGCTAATTAAGCCATAACACCTGCAAAGGGTTCCTGAGCCTTTAAATGGTCTCTCAGTCTGGTTCAGTAGGAATCACAATCATGGGAAAGACTGCTGACCTGACAGTTGTGCAGAAAACCATCACTGACACCCTCCATAAGGAGGGAAAGCCTCAAAAGGTAATTGCAAAAGAAGTTGGATGTTCCCAACGTGCTGTATCAAAGCACATTAATAGAAAGTTGTGTGGAAGGGAAAAGTGTGGAAGAAAAAGGTGCACAAGCAGCAGGGATGACCGCAGCCTGGAGAGGATTGTCAGGAAAAGGCCATTCAAAAGTGTTGGGGACTTTCACAAGGAGTGGACTGAGGCTGGAGTCAGTGCATCAAGAGCCACCACACACAGACGGATCCTGGACATGGGCTTCAAATGTCGTATTCCTCTTGTCAAGCCGCTCCTGAACAACAAACAACGTCAGAAGCGTCTTACCTGGGCTAAAGAAAAACAGACCTGGTCTGTTGCTCAGTGGTCCAAAGTCCTCTTTTCTGATGAGAGCAACTTTTGCATCTCATTTGGAAACCAAGGACCCCGAGTATGGAGGAAGAATGGAGAGGCCCAAGGACCCCCGAGTATGGAGGAAGAATGGAGAGACCCAAGGACCCCGAGTATGGAAGAAGAATGGAGAGGCCCAAGGACCCCGAGTATGGAGGAAGAATGGAGAGGCCCAAGGACCCTGAGTATGGAGGAAGAATGGAGAGGCCCAAGGACCCTGAGTATGGAGGAAGAATGGAGAGGCCCAGGGACCCCGAATATGGAGGAAGAATGGAGAGGCCAAGGACCCCGAGTATGGAGGAAGAATGGAGAGCCCAAGGACCCCGAGTATGGAGGAAGAATGGAGAGGCCCAAGGACCCCGAGTATGGAGGAAGAATGGAGAGGCACAAGGACCCCGAGTATGGAGGAAGAATGGAGAGGCACACACTGCAAGATGCTTGAAGTCCAGTGTGAAGTTTCCACAGTCTGTGTTGATTTGGGGAGCCATGTCATCTGCTGGTGTTGGTCCACTGTGCTTCATTAAGTCCAGGGTCAACGCAGCCATCTACCAGGAGATTTTGGAGCACTTCATGCTTCCTTCCACAGACGAGCTTTATGGGGATGCTGACTTCATTTTCCAGCAGGACTTGGCACCTGCCCACACTGCCAAAAGCACCAAAACCTGGTTCAATGACCGTGGGATTACTGTGCTTCATTGGCCAGCAAACTCACCTGAGCTGAACCCCATAGAGAATCTATGGGGCATTGCCAAGAGAAAGATGAGAGACATGACACCGAACAATGCAGAAGAGCTGAAGGCCGCTATTGAAGCATCCTGGTCTTCCATAACACCTCAGCAGTGCCACAGGCTGATAGCTTCCATGCCACGCCGCATTGAGGCAGTAATTTCTGCAAAAGGGGCCCAAACCAAGTACTGAGTACATATGCAGCTTCTACTTTTCAGAGGTCCGATATTGTTCTATGTACAATCCTTGTTTTATTGATTGCATGGAATATTCTCATTTTCTGAGATTGTGGATTTGGGTTTTCATGAGCTGTAAGCCATAATCATCACAATGATGACAAATCACGGCTTGAACTATCTTGCTTTGCATGGAATGAGTCTCATATACTAATTTCACCTTTTAACCCCTTCCAGTCCGGACACTTTTACCCCCTTCCTGTCCAGGGCAATTTTCAGCTTTTGCGCTATCACAGTTTGAATGACAATTGCGCGGTCATGCAACGCTGTACCCATATGAATTTTTTACCATTTTTTTGAGACAGATAAAGCTTTATTTTGGTGGTATTTATTCACCGCTGGGATTTTTATTTTTTTTGCTATGTACCCCGTATTTTTTCGCTCCATAAGACGCACCTGACCATAAGACGCACCTAGGTTTTAGAGGCAGAAAACAGGAAAAAAAAATTCTGAACTAATGGACTGCAGACATAGTACAGCAGATGACCAGAGACTGCAGACATAGTAGAGGAGATGACCAGAGACTGCGGACAGTACAGGGATGACCATAGACTGCGGACACAGTACAGGGATTTAGAGACTGCGGACACAGTACAGGGATGACCATAGACTGCGGACACAGTGCAGGAGATGACCAGAGACTGCGGACATAGTACAGGAGATGACCAGAGACTGCAGACATAGTACAAGAGATGACCAGAGACTGCTGGACATAGTACAGGAGATGACCAGAGACTGCGGACATAGTACAGGGGATGACCAGAGACTGCAGCCACAGTACAGGATGACCAGAGACTGCGGACACAGTACAGGGGGTATGACCAGAGACTGCAGACACAGTACAGGGATGACCAGAGACTGCGGGACACAGTACAGGAGATGACCAGAGACTGCAGACACAGTACAGGGGATGACCAGAGACTGCAGACACAGTACAGGGATGACCAGAGACTGCGGACACAGTACAGGAGATGACCAGAGACTGCAGACACGGTACAGGAGATGACCAGAGACTGGGACACAGTACAGGAGATGACCAGAGACTGCGGACATAGTACAGGAGATGACCAGAGACTGCGGACATAGTACAGGGGATGACCAGAGACTGCAGACACAGTACAGGGATGACCAGAGACTGCGGACACAGTACAGGGATGACCAGAGACTGCAGACACAGTACAGGGATGACCAGAGACTGCGGACACAGTACAGGAGATGACCAGAGACTGCAGACACAGTACAGGGATGACCAGAGACTGCGGACACAGTACAGGAGATGACCAGAGACTGCAGACAACGGTACAGGAGATGACCAGAGACTGCGGACATAGTACAAGAGATGACCAGAGACTGCGGACATAGTACAGGAGATTACCAGAGACTGCGGACATAGTACAGGAGATGACCAGAGACTGCGGACACAGTACAGGGGGATGACCAGAGACTGCGGACAGCGCAGGGATGACCAGAGACTGCGGACATAGTACAGATGACCAGAAGACTGCGGACACAGTACAGGGTACAGGAGATGACCAGAGACTGCGGACAGCACAGGGATGACCAGAGACTGCGGACACAGTACAGGGATGACCAGAGACTGCGGACACAGTACAGGGATGACCAGAGACTGCGGACAGTTCAGGAGATGACCAGAGACTGCGGACAGTACAGGGGATGACCAGAGACTGCGGACAGTACAGGGGATGACCAGAGACTGCGGACACAGTACAGGGATGACCAGAGACTGCGGACAGTACAGGGGATGACCAGAGACTGCGGACACAGTACAGGGATGACCAGAGACTGCGGACACAGTACAGGGATGACCAGAGACTGCGGACATAGTACAGATGACCAGAGACTGCGGACATAGTACAGATGACCAGAGACTGCGGACACAGTACAGGAGATGACCAGAGACTGCGGACAGCACAGGGATGTCCAGAGACTGTGGACATAGTACAGGAGATGACCAGAGATTGCAGACAGTACAGAAGACTGCTGACCTTTGGGGAGGTGGGGAGCGGGTACCTGAATTTGACAGGTACCCGCTCTTACTTTTTTTTTATCTTACCTGTTCCTCTATCCAGCCGCGCGCTGTCTTCCCGCCTTCTGTAGTGTGGGCACTCGTCGGGACAGCCAGATGCCCAGTGCGCATGCGCGAGAAGCGCTGCGTTTTGTGATTGGTCCGGCGGCTTCTGGGATCTGTCATGTGTCCCAGATACCCGCCTTACCATTCACAAAGAGCACTGCTTCTTGCGCATGCGCACTTGGGACCCGGCTGTCACGCACACTACAGAAGCCGGGAAGACAGCGCGCCGCTGGATAGAGGGACAGGTAAGTTCCCACTGCAGAGCTGAGCGGCCGGCCCGGTATTCTGACACGGCGGCGGTGGAAATACCGGACCGGCCGCTCTATATTCGCTCCATAAGACGCACTGACATTTTCCCCCCTTTTTTGGGGGAAAAAAAGTGCGTCTTATGGAGCGAAAAATACGGTAAATGAAAATGTCCACAAATTTTGAAAAAAAGTGTTTTTCTTATAAAAATTTGCAAATAAATAATATTTCATAATAAATATTGCCCAAAATTTATTCTGTTATCTTTTTAGTAATAAAAAAAAAAAAATAAGCCAAATTAGTTTATAACCAAAAATTATAATTTTTAAACATTTTTTTTTACATTTTTATTTTATTTTTTTATTATTATTTATGATTTGTTTTTTTTTTACATACTGTCACCCTAGCAGTACAGGGTCACCATGGTGACACTGTACTACTTGTGGGGGGTGATGAAGATTTTTTTTTTTTTTTACATTGATTGCATTTACACCCATATAGGATGTAAAAGCAATCATTTCTCTTTCTCTCTGTCTGCATTCCTGCAGCCATTGAGAACTACTGAGTGAGCTGTGATTGGTCACAGCTGGTCACATGGTATAATGCTGTTGTGAATAGCCTTGTACCATGTGATCTCTGTGATCATTCACAGATTTCGCACGTAGTAAGCAATGATGTCACAAGTGACATCTTGCTTACTACTTTGCATGTGATCACTGATTGGCCAATCAGTGATCACATGATCGGGCCTTCGTACAGAGGTCCCGTCCGATGATCAGTGATTCACTGTGTCTGGAGGACACAGCGGGCACCGGATCGTGGTGCTGCGTGCTCCCAGGGAGCGTGCACAAGCAGGGTGCGGGGAGGCCGTTTATAAATGGCCACCCGACCCTGCAGTGCCACCGTCCAGCTGTTTATATACAACGGCCGGATGGGAGGTGGTTAAGTTGTATTACTGAAATAAATTAACTTTTGCAAGATATTCAAAATTTTTTGAGTTTCACCTGTATTTGATTATCATCATTACCGTTACCATGGTTATACTGCATTTTTTACTCACCTAATTATTTTTATATACCTCTGTTGCCAGGTGATCTTCACATCCTATGCCACTAGCTAAATTTATGAGCCATTTCACCAAGCATACACCATTGTGTGCAACATATCTAATTTTATATATATTTTTTTTTTATTTTAATTCTTATTTTTTAATTTTCAATTAATTTTTATTAATTTTTTAATTTTTATTTTTTTTTTTTTTATTTATTTACTTATTTTTTATTTTTCATTTTTTATATTTCATTGATTATTTTTTAAATTTAGTAATTTTTTTTTTTTTTACAGTTTATTTTTTTTTATTTCCCAATGTATATATATTTTTCATGTATTTTAATTTAATTTTTTTTTTTTTATTTTTTTATAATTTTTTTGTGTATATATATATATATATTTATATATATATATATATATATATATATATATATATATATATATTTTATATATATTTTTTTTTACATATATATATATTACATTTTGATTTTACATTATTATTTTTCATTTTGACCATTTCTATTTTTATTCACATTTTATAAATATTGATAACCAAATGTCTTTTTTCCTTTTTCTTTTCTTTTCATTTCCTCTGTTTTCCATTTTTTCATTTTCCTCTGTTTCATTTTTTCCATACCATTTTATTTTCATTATTAATAACTTCTTATTTTTTCATCCATTTACAATTTTAATTCTCTTCCCGTACTCTTTTAACCACACAGTGTCACCTTACAACAATGGTAGAATCACATTATTGCTGAAACAATTGGTTAATTAATTGCCAATCAGCCCCTCTGAGGATTAACTCGGTATATATACAACTATCGGACTCCCACCTCCCCCGCTTGATAAAGGAGCGCACTTCCCCCTCTCCAGGCCAGCGCATGCTCCGAAACGTGTCGCAGTGCACCTTGGGTAACTGACGTCATCACGCCCACGTCATCGCTGCGTTCCAGCGTGCGTTCCCCCCGGCTTTGAGGAGGACGTGCACGCCGGCCGGCTCCACAGCTGTCCCCCTCCAGCCACCACGCTGCTCCAGCGGAACGCTGACACATTGTTACCGATGACAGCTCAGTGACACCGATGACAACCCCCTCCTGTCCCATGTTACACCACACCACTTTATTTCATGCATTACTTGTACCTCATACATGGGAGGGTTCCTACTTCTCATCTTCATTAAAGTGTTATGCTGCACTTAGAGGCGCTTCTTCTCCTTCTCTCATCCTAACAGAGAGAGTCACTGCCCTGTTCATAGAGCTCAGGAGACAACTGGAGGACCTGGAGAAGAGAGTCCTGAGGGAGATCGCCAGCCAGGAAGAGCGGCTTTCATGTCCATTGTCTGAGATGATCCATCAACTGGAGATAAAGAAGAAGGATCTGTCCAGGAAGATGGGGGACATTGAGGAGCTGTGTAACATGACCGACCCCCTGACTGTCCTCCAGGAATCAGACACAGGGGACTTGTGTGATACTGAGGAGGGAGATGATGAGGACAGAGAGAGACATGATAGACTCCTCCATGATGGAGGGGATCTGGATGTGGCTGGAATCTCACACACATTACACACAGGGATATCTGATATGATAAAAGGGGGAAATGTATGCTTCAATATACAGGAAGCTTCAGACTTATTACTGGATGTGAACACAGCTCATAATTATCTACAGATATCAGATGACATGAAAACTGCATCCTGGTCAGATACAGAGCAGAATCGTCCAGAAACACCAGAGAGATTTCAGTGCTGGGAACAGGTATTAAGCAGTCGGAGTTTTTCCTCGGGGCGACATTACTGGGAAGTGGATGTCAGTGAGGGAGAAATTGTGAAGTCGGGATGTGTTATCCCAGTATAGAGAGGGGGAGGAGGATGGCAGTCAGGGATTGGAAGTAATAACAAGTCCTGGAGTTTGTGGAAGTATAACAGTGAGTGTTATCTATTACATGATGATAAAACCAATCCACATATCTCCCGATACCCCCCCTGATAGAGTCAGGATCTATGTGGATTATGAGGCCGGGCAGCTGTCCTTTTATGATCTGTGTGACCCCATCAGACACCTCCACACCTTCACCACCACCTTCACTGAGCCCCTCCATGCCGGGTTTGTATGTAAAAAAAGGTTGTGTAAAGATATCTGGGGGGTCAGGAGACGTGTAAAATGATCATATGACAGGAAATCTGACCTGAATCTGGTGAAATCTGCTGAGAAATGTGAATCTGGTTCATAGGATGACACCGTTTGTAGAGATAATATATTTTCTTCAATCGGTAGATCTGGTAGATCTCAGCCGAGGAGAGTGTCCTCCATCACTGCCACACCCAACAAGGCAAGATTTGGGGGGGGGGGGGGGGGTATTTAGCATTAGGCTGACCACACACTATACAATCTGATTGTACAATAACCTTTAGATCTCCCATCAGCTGTGTAGTATACGGGTCTGCCTGATGTGACCCAATAAAGAGCTGATTCACACATGTGCGGTGCGGATTGAAGCTCAGGATTCACAGCTAATTGGCACAGTAGTTGTTCAGCGGTTCAGATCAGGTTTACATCAGGTTCAGGAAAGGTTCAGGTCAGGATTTTATCCCGTTCACACATGTGCGGTTTAGAAACGGTTCCCATAGAAGTCAATAGCCTGTAATGCACCTGAACCGGACCGCACTGCTCAGAAATCGCACATGACTCCTTCTCACCGCCAGTGCACCGGACCTATGTGGACAGGCACCATAGGAAGCAATGTTATGTCACATGTCATGCGGATTGGATGCGGTTCAAACCAATCCAATCCACATATGTGTGAACCGGCACTCAGAGGATTGTTTAAGTTTGTCTTCATAGGAGATAGTTTTGGTAAAGCTAAAGGAGATTTGGTGGTGTAGAGTGTGGTCAGCCTTAGATTTACCAAAAGTATGTCATATAAAGCCGGACATGAGCAATCCACTTACATTGTATCCAGGCAGACCCTCGCATTACATACAGTAGTTGCTGGCAGATCCGAAACAGATTGTATAGTGTATGGTCAGCTTTAGGGGTTCAGGTTGGGGGTTATTTTTGTTGGTTATGTGTTAGAGAAGACACTGGTAGTGATGAGGCAGAATTATGACTTTACTTGTGTGGCTTAAGTTGCAAACATACAGAGCACATTTCAGCAGACATATTACTTCCTAGAGAGAGAACCAACAAGTCTTACACATATGCTCAACTAGTGACCTTAGTGTACAGTGCCATCTACTGGTCAAGTGATATTAACACAGAAATACTATATACAGTACATTATGGTACATGCTGTTGCATTCCCAACACCCCTTCTCAACGGCATGTGCATAATTATATGACATTTAGTCTCTTTTGTAGAAAAAAATGACGTTCCCTTGGCAAAGGTTTGGTGAGTGCGTCTGCAGTCATCTCCTCTGATGGGCAGTACTGGATAACCCCCTTGTTCTTGCATGTCTCTGAGCAGATGATATCTTACATCAATGTGCTTGGTTCTTGGGTTGATCTTCTCAGAGTGTGTAAGCTTTATGCATCCCTGATTGTCTTCAAAGATGGGTGTGGGTTGTGACATATTCAGTCCCATGTCTAGTAGAAGTTGACGAATCCAAATGGCTTCTTGACATGCATGTGCTGCTGCTGCTATGTATTCCGCTTCAGTTGAAGAGAGTGCAACAGTCACTTGTTTCCGACTGTTTTGCGACCAAGAGGGAGTTCTGTTAGTGACCAAGTTTTATTTTCTTGAAGTGATTTTATTTCTTCTTCAGCTGCTTTTCTCCACTGATCGGCTTCCCTTCTCGGCAAAGTTTCTATGTCTTCCCAGGATGTTGGCTCCTGTGTTTGATGTGTTTTAGCAGCGTATGATAACCTGTGGGGTGGTATCCCTTTTGTCATTCGAGAGGATCTTCTGATTTCTTGTTGTTCAGTGGGTTCTATTGGCTCGTTGATTGTCAGTTCCACTTCTTGTTCTGGCTCTTGTCCTGCTTCGTATGGGTCAGTGTCTCTTGCCGATTCAGCACGTAAATCCTCTCCACATTTCTCAAGAATTGTATTATCTGGTGCTTCACTTTCATCAAAATAAACACTGCGGCTTACTGTGACCTTGTTGGTCTTTGGACAAAGGATTCTATATCCCTTACTCTGCTCACTGTAGCCCACCAGAATGCCTTCTATGGCTTTGTTCTCCAACTTGGAGCGTTTCTGACTTGGAATGTGGGCATATGCTTTACAGCCAAACACTCTGATGTGTCCTACGTTAGGTTTTGATCCATTCCACATTTCATATGGTGTACTCTCAATAGCTTTTGATGGGAGCCTGTTTTGTAGGTATGTTGCAGTCATTATTGCTTCTCCCCAGTATTTGTTAGGTAAGGCAGCGTCCGTAATCATACATCTTGTCATTTCTACAAGAGTGCGATTCTTTCTTTCCGCTACACCGGTTTGCTCAGGAGTGTATGGTACGTTGTTTGGTGTATAATACCTTGTTTCTTTAGGTATGATTCCATCTCTTTATTCATATATTCCCCTCCATTGTCAGTGCGTATTATTCCAGGTTTCCTTTGAAACTTGTTGCTTGTCATGGCTACAAACTCTTGAAGTTTTTCTAATGTCTCACTTTTTTGCTTCATTAGATACGTTGTTGTGTACCTGGAATAATCGTCAATGAAAGTCAGTAAATATCTGTTCCCGCCAGGTGTGATGGTTTTCATTGGTCCGCACACATCACTGTGTATCAGTTCCATGGGTTTAATGGTTTTACTCTGACTGGTCTGTGGAAGAGAGGTTCGGGTGGCCTTTGCTTTGATGCAACACGTGCACTTGCTGAGTGTGTGGCAAGGCAATATTTTCATGTCTTCTGATAGACCTCTCTTTGCAAAGTCCTTTATAGCTTCTGGGTTTCGATGCCCCAATCTTCTATGCCACAGGTGGATGCACTTGTCATGTGGGTTATGAGTTGCCGCATTAGCCTTCTCACTTTCAGTGACGAGTTTGTACAGATGTTCATGTAACCTTCCTCTTGCTAGAATTTGCTTTCCATTTTGAATTGTGCATTCATTACCTCTGAACTGGACAGTGAGTCCATTGCTTGCAAGGGTTCTAACTGATAGGAGGCTTCCTTCTAGGCTTGGAACATATAGAACATTCTTTACAAGGATGCTCTGCTTGCCCCCTGATGGCGTTTTGCAGTTCAGAAATCCCTGACCTTTACCTTCCGCTGTAATACTTTTCCCATTTGCTAGGAAGACTTTATCTTTTACACTAAAATCAATTTCTGTGAAGAATGTCTCGTCGCTTGTCATGTGACTTGTTGCCCCTGAATCAATGTACCATCCGTGAGGTACTATTCTGAGTCACTTTAAAAGTTCCACTCCATGATGCACTTTCATTTTCTTTCATGACCGCTTTAGCTCTTTCTCTTGTGGGTAGCTCCCGCTTTCGCTGCTCAGCTTTCCAGATTGAACAGTTCTTTTTCAGGTGACCGGCCTTTTTGCAGCGAAAACACACACCCTGGTTTCTTTGCTTTGTATTCTGCCTTCATGCACCTTCAGAGCTGCCTCTGGTCTCTCGTTCTCTTCACTATGCAAAATTTCCTTTCTTCTGCTGTATTCATCAATTAATTTTCCCTTAACATATTCTAGCGTCAGTTCAGTTTCCGGTCTAGTTTCTAGAGCATTTATAAGGGCACTGTATGATTCTGGAAGGCTGCATAGTAGTATTGAAACAACATGGTTGCCTTTCATTTCTTCACCTATTGCACCCAGCTGGTCCACAATTTCTAGCATAGCATTTACATGTTCACCCATTTCCGGCCCTTTTTCCAGCCTCATCTTATACAGTTTGCGTAGCAGATATAGTTTTACTGTTTAGGTTTGCACGTTCATGCAGTTTTTGTAATGCAGTCCACATACCTTTAGCTGTGCTTTCTTTTCCTTATATGAATGAGTTGATCGTCCTCCACTAACAGGCTTATGACTGCTTTTGCTTGCCTGTTTTTTCTGTCCCATTCTTCCGGGTTGTCATTGGGTCTGTGTGTATCTAGTACCTGCCACAAGTCATCTTTGGATAACAGCATTTCAAGCTTAAACTTCCATAGCTGGTAGTTGGTATTGTTGAGCTTTGCTATTGTAAACTTCATATCTGAAGCACTTGCCATCTTTCAGTGAATTGGATACAGCTCTTGTTCCTCACACAGGATTTGGTAGGATTGGAAATGCAGCACTTGCTTGTAGTTTTCCTTTTTCCAGTGTCTGGAGCTGGGCCCATAACCTGTTGGTTATGTGTTAGAGAAGACACTGGTAGTGATGAGGCAGAACTATGACTTTACTTGTGTGGCTTAAGATGCAAACATACAGAGCACATTTCAGCAGACTATAATAGCAGACATGTTACTTCCTGAAGAGAGATAGAGAAGAGAGAGAACCAACAAGTCTTACACGGTTATGTTAAGGTTGGGGGTTATGTAACTTTAGCTCCCGCCCCCTGTTTTCTGAACTTTTGGACAAGCTGTATAAATTCTGCACTTTGAACAGATGTAGAGAAGAGAAGACTGCAGATACACAGGTACAACTTATGTAGGAGGATTTGTTTCCTCTCTGTGTATCTCCTGAGGCCAGTCACTGCACTGGGTATAGGTAAGGGTTTACAACCCCTTTGAAGATTTAATCATGAGTCGGTTTTATGGCCCTTTTACCCGTCTGACTGCTGAACAGCAGAGATTATGCTGGATGGTTATTCACTGTTATAAATAAGTCATCTAGAAAGGTGAAAATATTTTATTCTGTAAAGTGGTTATAAGGGAAGGACATTCTGTACCTCAAAGCCGTATTAAACCCAAAGGGAAACATTTGTTATATTGCAGC